TCCAGCTTAGGTGGGACTTGCCAGCTCTTCTCCAGAGATCTCAGCATGCCCAGAGCCCCATGCACTATGGGCCCTGTGACACAGCCCCGGCTCCCGAGATCAGGGAAGCTTCCTGGTCAGGGAAGCCCACCTCAGGCCTCTCGAGGCAACTACTCTTCTTCCCAGACCATGTCCGGAGGCTGCTGGAGTTCCACCTGCAGAAGAAGTTGATTGACCGTCACTGGGGCCTGCCCCAGAAGATCGAGCAGTCCTTCAAGTTGCTCCTGTCCCCTGCTGACCAGCAGCCCCTGCCCTGGAGCAGCACAGCCTTGGACAACGTGAGCGTCCTCCAGCCTGCAGCCCCAGAGGCCAAGGGGGTTAATGACCTCTTCTCACCTACCTTGGCCCCGGTGTTACTCCCCACGCCACAGTTGCTTATCCAAGCCAAAGCAATACTTCAGAGCCACATCGACTCCAAAGGTTGGCAGATCCGCCAGGGCACTTTCCCAACCCGTGTATGTATCTCCTGGGACTTCAGAAATCCTCGGAGCCTGCCAGTGACTCCCTCCCCCTGCATTCCAGAAAGCCAGCCCCTGGAGCTGCAGGCAGCAACCGATCCTGACCTAGAGCAGGAAGTAGTGTCCCAGATGCCAACAGCCATTGGTCAGCAGACCTCACCAGGTGCTGTCATTGAGCACACTAAGCCGTCCCGATCCCTATCTGAGGGAGCCATTCAGAAACTGGAGACGACTTTACGGCACAAGTACCTGGCCTTCCTGTCAGGGCTACCCGCTCTCTATTCTGTGGCTCTCTCTAAGGCCCTGGGCCCAGCAATCACCAGCCAATCCTCTGTGAGCGCCCAGGTGACGCCTGAGCCTTTCGAAATCCCAGCAGAGCCCCTGAATGAGATGGTCTCCTATGAAGACCCCTGTACGTGTCCTGGGCCAGCCTTTCAAGAGGACAAGACTTGTGCAGACCGTGCCCGCGGACTCCTGTCTGATGGGCAGGAGGAAATAATGGAGACAGTGCCTCTCGGAGGCCAGACAGATGCTGATCTTCCCCCCGTACTCAGGAGACCCACCTTGACAAAACTGAATTTCCATCTGAGGAAAAAGGTCCTAGAGATGCAGTTGGGAATTCCCATGAAGGCAAGGAAGTCCAGGGACCAAACTGTGGCCGTCCCTGGGAACATATCCACACAAGAGGCATGTGGGAGTCTAACCAACCAGGAACTCGCCATCCCAGCAGACACTCCACACACTCCAGAAGCAGAATGGGCTCGCCTTAAAGAACTACTGATCATTGAGCTAAAGGCAGTGCTGCTGAGACGGGAACTCGCTAAGTCCAGAGCAGTACCCTGTGGTTCTGGCCACTGCGTCTCCCACATCTCCCAACCCGGTGGGGACAAGGCAGACGCCCAGGTGCTTTGTGTTCAGCTGGAAGCCAGCATGAACAGCCCCAGTCTGAAGGAGGCCTGGTGCCCTGAGTCCCGAGGCCCTGGCAAAAGCAAGGACTCAGCCCAAGTGCCCACCCCGGCAGAGAAGGAAGAGGACCCAGGGAAACCCAAAGCAGCAGGGGACCATGAAGAAGGGGATGCAGGGTCTGGGCTCCCCTCAACTAGAGAAAACAGACACCCTGCTGAACGCCAGAGGCCAGCAGGTTCCTGGCGAAGGAACCTTAGCTATGTTCTCGCTGCCTCGTGTCAGGAGAGTCCCCAGGACTATCCTCAGCTTCAGCTCCCTGAGTTACTACCTCCAAGAGTCCCTTGTGGAGAAGAATCTGAGAAGACTCTCATCACAGAGCCGGCAAGGATTCCTGGAACTCCGCAATCTGTGCTGCCCCAGACTTCACCGGGCCAGCCTTTGCTGGGCCTGCTGTCTCACAGGAAGACTTTGCACAGCCAGACTTCGCAGGATGAAATCCCACAAAGGCGGGTGAGAGCAGTCCATACTCCTGAGACCCACAGTCTTCGAAAACCTGGATTAAGAAATAAGATGAAATGCTTCTTGTGCTGTGGTAACCCCAAAAGAGTGGATGAGGAAAATGTGTCTTCTCCAGCTGAGAAAGTAGCCAAAACAAGAAAAAAAAGTGCCAAAAAGATCTTGGTCAAAGCCAAAGACCCTATGGGACAAGCTAAGACAAATAAGACAACTGGAGACTCTAAGACTCAGTCTGCTCCTACTGAGAGACAAGCGGACCTGACCCTCTTGGATCAACCCCAGGCCCTGGACAGTCAGCCACGGCACCAACTTCGTCAACGCCTCTCGGCCTCTCTCCTAGGCTACCTTCGCCACTCTTTTCTATGCTTGCCTCTAGTGGCTTGTGCTACTCAACAAGGGAACCCAACCTAGGTTCTAATTCTCACTTTGAAAGGAAACACTGGTCCCAGCATTGCATTCAAATACTTTATCCTCTGTAAAAGCACTTGGACTGTCATTGTCCATTATTTCATGGATTGGGCAAAGCATAGGCCAAACAGATCTACAGGCAACGACCTGCCTGTTGACCCCTTCTTATCTCTTTGTGGTATGTTAGAGGGTTGGGAGGGTGGGGTGGGTGGGTACACGGTTCTTCCTTTTAGATGAATAAACTTAAACTTAGAGTTCACACGTGTCAGCATTCCATTTCCCTCCTCCCAGCCCCATCCCAGACTGCTGATAAAGGGCCTGGAGCAGAGCTAGGCCCTTGTCTAAGGTGCGTGGAGGCTGAAGGTCAGGCTGGAATCCAATCACAGTTTCCATGATGATTCCTAAGCCTGTGATAAAAGTACTGACAGGAGAGAGTGGACTGAAGCCACTGAACTGTTTGTCCATCTAGTCACAAAAAGCATTGCTCAAGGCAGATCCACACATGTGCCTCCCATCTGCAGAAAGGCTTTCAGGGGAGCGCCACATGCTCCATCCTTGAGGAAGTGCTTTCGTGATTTGCAAAAGCAGTTAATATGATAGATGTCAAAACAAAATATAGACTCTCCCCTCTCTGCCCCCAGTTGGTACTGACAAGCTCTTTCTCCCAACTTGGGAGCCTGCTGTGGCCCTGTTGCCTGGGCCCTACCTCCACTACCTCTCAGCTGTATGGAAGGAACATTCCTCAGAATGAAGATCAGAGGAGGAGATGGAGAGGGGTTTGTCCCCCACCCCCCAGGGCTGGCAGGGAAGGAGGCAGGTAGGGAATGAATGTCAATGGTCACATGAATACCTGGGACAGCATGCCATGTTCCTTACCGGGGCAGGAAATGAAAAGGAATTAGTTTTCTTTTTACACTAAAGAAAGTCCAGAAAGTCAACCCCACAGCCTGCATGTTCTTGGTGGAGGGAGGTAAGCCAACACTGAGCTTCACAGGCCTTCAAAGAGACGCAGCAACAGGACAGGTGTGGCCTCCCAGTGTCCAGGGACCAGGGAGGTTTGGGGCTGGGAAGGGAGCAGTGGGAACATGAAGAAAAGGAGGCTGCACTGAGCATGTGGGACTGACTATAGTTTTGGCCACTTAGTGTCCTTCAGAAAGTCCATCCCTGCATTGTCCTCTGATCTACCACAGGGAATCCTGGAGCTGGAGGAAGAGCAGGAAATGTTACGGGTTCCTTATGATATAGCATAGGGAACTGTGGGGCACCTAAGCATCACTTACCATCCCATCAAACCAGGAGGAGGTGGTGGCTGGACTAATTTCCTCTATAGGACCCCTTGTGCTTGGCACAATGTGCAGAGAAGCCAGGATGGGAAGTAGCACAGATGTGTCCCTGCTCAGAATGTTGTTTCTGTGCCTCAAAGATGGGGACCCAGACCCTAGTGTGGCCTCTGAGGTTGGCTGCCATGCCAACATTCTCTGGGTGTTTTCCTAATGTATCCCCAAAGGAGATCAAAGCAGGTCTTGTGGCAGGCACATCCTCCCTGCCTGCTGGGAGTTGGACAGAGAGCCATGGAACAGAGACACTAGA